GGTACAGGATCTTTCAGAAAAACTGATATATTAGCAGGGCTGGTGGTAGTAATGGTGGTCCATAATGAGGCCATGATGCTACATCAGTTAGAAAACATGGAGGAAAACTGACCTGTTTGCATGGGAAGGAAACTGAGATAGTAATTTCAGAAAAATTATTTGAAATGTGCTGATACTTGTCTGGGATGTGAATGCTGAGTGACTTCTGATGTCCCACAGCCAAACCCCATCAAGCAGCATGATCTGTCATTCTGTGGGGAGCAGCACCCTTGCACTTAGCACACGGCAGCCTCCTAACATCATTTTTTAAATGATATCTTGCAAAAGAAGATTGTAAAGATCCCTGTTACAGCGAATTGAGAAAATTTAAGTGAACAAGTCAACTTGGTATCCTGCTAAAAAAATTACTGATGGTACGTTATGGGTACATGCAGTTTGAGCTACCAAAACCAAAGTCTAGTTCAGATAGCAGATATTTGCCTTTGGGGTGCTATGGTAGCAGTCGCAGTGCCTGTCTGCCCCTTCTCAAATGTTACATCTCATAATACAGGCCTTCAAATTCACAACTCAAAATGATTTTTCGACCTCCCCTTTCACAATGTGTTTTACAGTAGGGCAAGGGGTAATGGTTTTAAGCTAAAAGAGGGTAGATTCAGACGAGATCTAAGGCAGAAATTTTTCACAGTGAGCGTGGTGAAACACTGGCACAAGTTGCCCAGAGAGGTGGTAGATGCCCCATCCCTGGAAACATTCAAGGTCAGGTTGGACGGGGCTCTGAGCAACCTGCTCGAGTTGAAGATGTCCCTGCTCATTGCAGGGGGGTAGGACTAGATTATCTTTAAAGATCCCTTCCAGCCCAAACTATTCTATGAGTCTGTGATTCTAGTAAGAAATATCTGGTTCTTATACTGTACTTTTTCTTTTAATAGAAGGTAAGATTTTTATGTAGTTTTGTGATTCCAACAACTGGTTTAATCCTGTTATGACTCTGTTTGGAAAAACTACCATTTGCCATCTAAGTAGGGTATACACAGAGAACACACTGTACCCCAGTGCATTCTGGGGTGTAGTATGGAGTATGGAGGCAGGGACTAGGCTAAGACACAATCTAAAAAGAGAAAGGGGGTTTACCCTTCTTCCTCCTCCTCTCCTCCCTCCCTGAAGGTACAGAAAGACCTTCCCCTTCCTCTAGCTGCGACAATAATAGCAACAACTCCACAGCGTGGATGTGGTCATAGATCCATACTGTTAGAAATGAAAAGGAGCAATGAGCACCACCAGGGCAGTTTTCTTATTCTTATTGATGTGCACACCTAAACATAGGAATGAAAAAGCCAAGAAGTACAAGACTGAAAGAGAAGGTATAACCATCTGTTGAACTGATATCCAAAAATCCCTCATTGGAACTAGTGTGAAATGTAGCCTGTTTCTCTGGTTCATTACCATTCATAATTTCAGCCAATGAAAATTTTAGTTTCCCAATATTTTGCATTTTTCTCCTATGTGTTTGCAACCATTTGATTTATATTTGTAATTCCAAATCTATGAAATGGCCCCAAATCTTTTTTCTTGTCTCTAGCCATTCTATTTTGGAACAGCCAACAAAAAGCCAGCAACAACAACAACAAAACAAATGAATAATTTTGGATCTAAGGTCTGTTTGCTTTGAAAAAAGATCAGTATGTTGGTGCATCAAACTGTTGCCAGATCAGCTGTCTTTCCCCTTTCCAAGAGAGATGATTTTGAATTAGGAGGCTTGCAAAACAGATCAAAAGGAAGAATTTTGTCCAGGCTACTTCTATTGCAGGTTCAATTCACAGAATCACAGAATCACTAGGTTGGAAAGGACCTTCAAGATCAACAAGTCCAACCATTAATCCAGCGCCACCATGTCCCCTAGACCATGTCCTGAAGCGCCACATCCACACGTTTTTTGAACACTGGTGACTCCACCACCTCCCTGGGCAGCCTGTTCCAATGCCTGACCACCCTCTCAGTGAAGAAATTTTTCCTAATATCCAATCTAAACCTCCCCTGGCGCAACTTGAGGCCATTTCCTCTTGTCCTATCACTGGTTACTTGGGAGAAGAGACCAACACCCTCATCGCCACAACCCCCTTTCAGGTAGTTGTAGAGAGCGATAAGGTCTCCCCTCAGCCTCCTCTTCTCCAGACTAAACAACCCCAGTTCCCTCAGCCGCTCCTCATAAGACTTGTGCTCCAGACCCCTCACCAGCTTCGTTGCCCTTCTCTGGACACGCTCCAGCACCTCAATGTCCTTCTTGTAGTGAGGGGCCCAAAACTGAACACAGGATTCAAGGTGTGGCCTCACCAGTGCCGAGTACAGGGGCACGATCACTTCCCTAATTGGTAATTACAATGTTCAGTTCTGGTCTAGAACAATGTAAATTGCACCCTTTCTTTTCTGTATCTTGTTTAATCAGGTCTTCTGATTGTTCACTGCATATCTGAGATCAAAAATATCATTGATAAATCCAGAGGAACAAGACAGTGACTCACACATCCTGTGGCTCAGATTAGGTAAAGGCAAAGGGGGCACTAAACAACAGAATAAAGTACGGTTTAGTGATTGACAACACTGCCAGTATGGATGGTTCCTAAATATTTTAATTTGATTTACAAGAATTCAGTATAAATATAAGTCATTTCTCAATGAAGTATCTTGTCATTTATAGTTTAATATGAAATATATAGCACAGGGAGAATTATTCTAATTCAGTAAGCTCATGTTTGTACAGCAAGAAAAGAATAAGAAAATGTGCCTGAAACTGAGGGGCAGGGATGCACTGGGGGAACTCTCAGCTTCCCACTGCCCGCCAACTGGAAGCAGTGATTGCCTTTCAGGCCTCCTGTGGGTCCCAGGTTGAGGTGCTTCAGAGATCTGCCCTCCATCCTCAAGACTAAATTTTCTTGAATCTCTGTGAGGTAATGCTTTCTGATTTCAAATGTGCTAAATTACTTCATCTACAGGTAACTTAGAGAAATTTACCTTCAGCGTGAAAGGATGAATATACAGGCTGGTTAAGTGTTTGGGGGACATTTCTCCAGAGAGCTGATACTTTCAGGTTTCCATTTGGTGTAGTCATCCTGCCTGCTTATAGCTGTGCAAGTAAGGACTCGCTGGACTGCACAGTCCATGATTGCCTGTATCTTCAGCCACAAATATGACTGAAACAAAGCCTACTTTTAGAAATGTGCTTGGCAAGCTGTATTGCCTCCTTTCTTCAGCACGGGCAAATTTGTTCAAACAGGTTTGATCATGGGGAACTAGTGGATGTCTTAGTCCCTGACATCCCTTCTTCACAGGCAAACGCTCTTTCAGTTCATAGGCTTTTTCAGAGGCAACAGGGAATCTTTATGTGAGAGCCTCATGAGAAAGTACTGTCAACAAGGCAACAGAACTAAAGATGGAGTCTCGTGATTATATTCTAATAGCTTTCTTCTTATTTTAAAATACTTAAACCTAATCCCCCAGGTTAGCCCAATCACAGTCTCCAATGTAGCCTTGTTTTCAGCTGTTAGCAGGTGGTTTTTAAAGCCCTCTTTAGATGATATGCGGGGCCCACATAGTGAAGTCAATTGTTAGACAGGATATAATTTAGACTTCAGCTCTTCCTCTGAGTTTTAAATAAAATGATTACTTTTCAGGAGAGCCTAAGGGAAGATTAAAAGTTTTATATCAAAAGTTGAATATTTTCTTTTGTTGTACACTGTTCTTTTAAAGAAAATGGTATTCATTTAAAATAATGCATGTTCTGATGTATTTGAAAGGGCGCTACTCTGAATTAAAAAGAAATTCATAAAGTATGCATGTATGGGAGAGGAAGATTGCAATCTTCCTTTCAGCGTTTAGTCAAAGGTTTTTAACTGAGCCCATTCTGCTTTGTTCAGAGAATGAGATCTCTGCAAAGATGTGTTGTAAATAACAGATGGCCCTTAGCGTTTAGAGAGCAGCGGTTAAGGTGACAAAATCTTCTGGGGCTCCTCTTCACAGGCAGGTTATAAAGTGATATTATAGCCTCTGTTTCAGACTGGAAAATGGTCCTCTCCTGTCTTTAAACGCATTAAAAGTGGTTCCAGGAAATAGCTCCACATAATTGTAGTTCTGGCAACCCCTGTGATGTCTCTCATTTCTTGTATCCCAAAGTTATCCAAGGGCAGAGGCCAGTGTATAGTACAAAGTCGTAAAGCTGACATAGGTCTAAAAGATAGATGGAATAGCCCAGATATGAACGTAGAAGTGAAGAGTAAGATATGAACAACAGGATTAAGTTGTTGTCTGATAAGATCAGCTAGCTTTTACCGTCAGTATCAATAGGGCTGTTTTACCAAGGATGCCCTGGGCACATTTGTAAAAAGACATTACCTATTAAAGGGGATTCCTGGAAACCTCCTAAAAGCAAATGTATATATGCAGTGAAGTCTCTTATAGGAGTTCACCATATCAGCCAAATAAGCATAGATCTTATTTTTCCAGAAGCCATCAGAAAAGTCTGAATATAACACTGCTGTTTTTTGGTAGCCTGCTTTCATGTCTGTTAAAACGAAGAGTACAAAAACAGTTATTGTTACAAAGGAGGGTGGTCACTCAACTGGCAAGTTGAAGTTTTCTTGTGATTTTATCACAGAAAAAAATGTTAATTTTGTAAAAATTCTGTAAAAAAACCCCACATTCTCTTACCTGTTAGCACTAATGCATGCTACTATCCTAAGGCAGCGTTAACAACATGGGTTTATGCTCCTTTGCCTAATATCAGTGGTGCTTGTTTTCACATGTGGACACCTGACTGTGGGAACCTAGATTAACACCACCTCATTTGCCTCCATACTGCCAGCTAAACAGACAGGCAATAATAAATATTGAGGTTGAATGTGGTTTTAAGAAGGCTGGGTGCTCATCGGACAGAATGGTGAAGGTTTGTATTCAATTGATATTACCTCTTGCAAAGGAGATGAATTGTGAATGTGCTGTTATTCCAGATTTCTAGAAGAACTGATGTGCTGGGGGAATTAAGACGACAATTAATGGCCACTGAGGAAGAATTCAGTTTATCATATTCTCCTCTGAATGTGACCTCTGGAAATGATATATGCATCCTTTTTTACGCGAGTAATTTCAGCCTCAAAGCCAATGGTTCAGTTTTTATAGATTTGACAAATGCAACATTTGTAACCCAGAATGTGGATGTTTCTTCCTCTGAGTGCTCAGACATCAACACAACGTGAGTAACACAAGAAATTTCCTATCATAATACATGTGATTCAGAAAGCTAATCAGAAATGGTGCAATGTCAAGTCATTATTAATTTAATTTTCTTCTTCTAAAGCATACAAAATAATAAATACTAAATTGGATATTCTTAGAAGAAAAAGATTGATTCAAGACCACAAAAATTGTTCAGATGCAGCCTCTTATCTTCACAATTTTTTTCCTCTTACATTCCTTACTTCCTTGTTTGTTTATATTTGGTCCAAACCAGTTTCCCTGTGCTCGGTCTCACAATCACAGAAATCTCCACTGGCATTAACGAGATCATCATTTCATTGTAAAATTCTCTTGAAGGGGAGTATTGCCAGTTACTAGGTAGTAATTCAGCTGGAAGTACATTAATGAAACATGATCTCTGTTTTCCTTTACTTTGAAGCACCTGCTCTTGGGTTAAAAAAAAAAAGAAATATTTTGTCATATTTTTCGGTGTACTGAACCTTTGCTATATGACTTTTGCAATTGCCTATTGATTTAGAATATTCTCTCCGATTGAAATGTCACAATGATCTAATTAAAGCTGACTACTCTAACATTAAAAATCTGTTTCTTATTCTTAGACTGTCATTAAAATACACAAAGCCAGTGAATGGAATCAGCAGCCTAGAGATAAGGTAACTTATGATTTATTCTTAAATAGACCTTTGTGGTGTACAAAGCCTGTTTGTAAATTAGGAGCAAAAAAAAAAGGAGTTAAGTGAAAATGTTTTCAAAATTATGATTTGGTTTCTGTTCTGAAGAGTTACTATACAGGAGAACAATAATACAATCTTTATATAGAGAATATATTAATACGCTCAGGTAAAGTTCAGAAAAAGCAGTGTAGGCAAGCAACTATACTGTAAGGTACTGATATATGAAACATCTTGTTTTGCTAATAGGATCAGACCACGATCCTGTCTCAGGGAAATCTAACGGTGATTTGTAAACGGTTCTAGGGGCTGAAGTCTACTTGCATGGCCAGGGTTGCATTTAGTCCTAATGTGGATTACCACTGTATTCGTCAGAGCTACCTTGTAGCTAATGCGGGCTGCAAAACCTCATCATTTTTCAGCTCCATGAATGGTGACAAGACCAGGTTTCTCCAACCATGAGAAGAGGGAAGAAAAGTTAGGGAATGGGAAGACTTGGGATGAAAAGTCAAAAGGTGAACTCACAGCTGTTGCTCTCACTAGTGGATTCTAGGGATGAGGACAGCTTCTGCTACTGCTATGAGGGCTGCCATACAGCTGCTGGTCCACAAACCTCAGTTCCTTCCTCAGCAGCAGGAACAGCAGCTAAAATTACTTTCTTAAGCTCTGGCAAAGATGATGTGTCCTGCTCTTTTCATTTAGGTACCTCAATTAATTGCTTAATGTTATTTAGGAAGGACTCGGGGCAGGGAACTTGTACTGAAACAGATTTGCATATATCAGAGGATGAACTGGATGTTTGCTTGGGCAGCAGAAGGACAAACGACTTCTTATAAAATGTTTTTGACATTTTGAATAAGGGAAATTGAAATCCAAGGAAAGCAAAAAGAGGAAGTTTAAAGTAATAATGTAGGAGATAATCAGAGCTTGAACAATATTTTGGTAGGCAAGAGGTACGTGGCACCAAGTTCATGAGCATGAATGAATAAATACCATTATTTACACTGAGATAGAAGGACATTCTACATTTAGGTAAAAGGACCCCTGGAAGGACTTGTCTTGAAGAGAATCAGTGATGTGTTTGGAATTGTATTTGGAGTGCATAAAGACACTTCCAGTCATCATCAGAGACCATGATAGGTGTCAAAAAACCAAATATGCTCCCCTCCCCTGCAAGCACCTAGAGCATTGTGAAAGGATATAATGTACAGATAAGATTGCTGTTAGTATAGTATTTTCACTTTTTTGGTTATTGTAGTTAGCTGTGTATAAGATCCTGGAGACTCTTGTCCTTGGTGACGGAGTCAAACATTTCTGGGTTTCAGTACTGTAAATTATCAAAGGAGCATACATTTCCCTGAACATCACGGGGAATTAAGGAAACATTTTCCTTGGATCCCATTCCAAAAATACTGTTCTCAAACCAAGACTCTGCCCAAGTTGTGTCTTTATTTTTACTCCAAGTCACAAAATACCACTTTTCCTGGTGCTTCCCTGGTTCTTTTTTGTCTACTATCTACTGCTCCTATCTCACTCTTGTACAGACAGACTCACCAAAACAGTGCCCTGGATTCTCATTCTGTATCTTTGCTTATATTGGTGCAGATCTTAGCTGCCCTCCTGTAATCTCTTTCTGTATGAATGAACCTGGTTGCTTTCTACATTTGTCCTGAATGTGACCATCCTCAGCAGAATACCATGCTTTCTAGTAAAATGGCAGTTCCAGGAAAGTAATATGAATCATAAAGCACTCAAAAATCCTATGGAACACGACACTGAGCTGCAAAACTAGCTACTAAGTTAATTGATAGAACTTAGAGGGGTTGGTTTCTTTAAAGTAATAACAGGTTTTACTCAACTATACAACAGCAAATTGCAAACCTTAGGATGCTACTATAGAAACAAAATACTTTGGCAGTTGAAAGAAACATTTATCTTAGATTTTGATTGCTGCAGCAGGCATAAGATCAAATGTGATGTTAGTGTATGCATACGGACTTAATGAGGATTATTCAGATTTGTCATTAGTCATCTGTTTGTTAAAATCGTTTAATTAATTATTGGGAGAAAACTTTAATGTAGTCATGAATCTGAGGTGCATCTGAAGAGAAGAAACTTGAAGCAACTCTGCAGACAGACTGACTGTAAATTAAAGGAGAACGTCAGTACAAAAGGTGAATGGTTCATGTTTTCTCTATTCTTCCGGAATATTTTTTACATCCTTTGAGCCTGTTGTAGCAAAGGCAGAAATACTCACAAAGTTTCTCTTGACCTGTGCTTCTACTTGAATACATTATAACTAAATACCAAAATGCATAAAGCCCTTGAAGCTGGGATAAGAAACTCAGGCTCCACAATAGGTGAGGACTTGAAAAGAAAGTAGGTAAAGTCCTACCCTCTGTCATTCCCAGCAAGTAATTGAAGTAGCTTAAGCTGGCTCTGTTTTGCAGGAGAATTTGATTTATTTTAATGGGCTAGGTGTGATCCAGATTTTTAATAGGCCGCCAGGGCATTTAGACACAAAAATTCCTAAATTTATTATTTTTTATGTGCTTAACAATAAAAAATCACAGAATCACAGAATAACTAGATTGGAAAGGACCTTCAAGATCAACAAGTCCA